TGTTAGACCAAGCATGGAGTGTTTACTTAGTAAGAGTCATTAAAACCTTGTCTAATCTCAATTGGTCCTTTTTTTGAGCGATAATTTTGTGACTTGAAAAAATTTAAAGTTAGAAAAAAAANAGTAAGAGTCATTAAAACCTTGTCTAATCTCAATTGGTCCTTTTTTTGAGCTATAATTTTGTGACTTGAAAAAATTAAAAGTTAGAAAAAAAATCAATGGGTGAAGATTGATTAGTTGTCGACACGAATTCAAAAATAATATAACTTATAAATATGAAAAANCGATAATTTTGTGACTTGAAAAAATTTAAAGTTAGAAAAAAAATCAATGGGTGAGGATTGATTAGTTGTCGACACGAATTCAAAAATAATATAACTTATAAATATGAAAAATAAATAGATTTGATTAGTATCAAACACGAATAACTCAATCATGATATCACAAATTTATTTAACTGCTATCATGCGAANAATAAATAGATTTGATTAGTATCAAACACGAATAACTCAATCATGATATCACAAATTTATTTAACTGCTATCATGCGAAGAAAATATATAATATATTTTTCTTTTAATTTAATATTCTATGTATTATTGTAAAAATAGATGATTATTTTAAACTTTGTTTTGTTAGTATATATATTTTTAATTTTTGGTAGAGCTTGGGTGGTGAGTCTGACCAAAAGAGCATCTTGGTTTCGAGTTTCTAGTTGATTGGTTATATGAGTCAATCAAATCATTAAGTAATACACAAACATGGTTAAAATCTAGTCATTTGACCTCACTTATGGAAAAGGTTGAATTAATTTAAAGAATAGATCNCACAAACATGGTTAAAATCTAGTCATTTGACCTCACTTATGGAAAAGGTTGAATTAATTTAAAGAATAGATCGTATGGTAATAAAAACGGACTATAAATTTAATTGTCTTAAATTTAAATATTGACAAATTTTTAGAGTCAGACTATGAGAGATTTATCTCTTATGAATACTCTAGTCTCATCATGGATGACCGCCTTTTAACCAGATCGAAAAAAAAATTATTTGAAGTGTACGTAAATTGACTCAAATAATTATGACTGCTGAATAAAAAAAAATAAAAATTAAATTATAATTAACTAATATTTCATATGAATACAAAATAACACAACTTAAACAAAATAAATAACATTAAATGTCACACCTTAAAACGTAGCTTTCACGTAAAAATGGGGCAAAGTATAGATGCCTACANATATGAATACAAAATAACACAACTTAAACAAAATAAATAACATTAAATGTCACACCTTAAAACGTAGCTTTCACGTAAAAATGGGGCAAAGTATAGATGCCTACATGGCATTGTTTCTTTTTTATCCTTAAAGCACATGGCAAAGCCAATCAAAGGATGAATTTGGGGCCCACTTCAGATGCCTGCTTCCATAGTTTCAACTGCTTATGGGCCCCATTAGTCCAATTAGCTAAGAGTTCCTTTCGTGGGCCATGTGTGTTGGTTCCTTGGACCATACTAATAATTGTTACGCGTGAGGAGACGTCCAAATCTATACACAAAATTTAACCCCCCCCTTTTTTTTTTTCTTTCGTAGATGTACATATTTGGGCATGGGTTTTCAGTCTTAAGGTGCATTTGGTAGGAGGAGTAACCCGCCCTCTTATATAACTTAATATTCTCTTATCATTAATTGACATGAGATTCGTTCGATACCTCAATAATATCAATAACTTTTCTCTCGAACGAGGCTTATTATGAATGATCGTCACTGTTTTCTCATCCGACACAAGGAGTTGAGTTCACACGATGCCTTGAGCCATGACTCTAATATCTCTTGTCGAGCATGAGTTTCTAGCTCAAAAGGCAGACCTGATAGATAGGTAGAGTGGTCCGTTATTTTACTATGGTCTAGGACCTTTTCTTTATCAATCGACGTAGAACTTGTTCGATACCTCAATATTATATAAGGAAGCGACTGCCTTCTTAAAGTTATCAATGAACCATGTTATATCATATTTTTAAAGCATGTGAGTCATATCATGTAAAATAAGAATAGTTAGGGTTTGTATTGTTGGAAAGTTATGTTTATTCAGATTCATGTTGCGTTTAGTTATGTGTTAACTTATTTACTTACTTATTTTAGCAAGTTTACCCGTTTAATACCTAAATACATTAAGATTAAATTCAAACTCTCTTAACTCCAATTAGATTTATAGTCAAGTTCATATGTAACGTTGTCAACTATAACTTTACCCACATAGGCCTCCCTATAAGCCCTAATCTCATCAATAAGTCATTCACATATTGACTCTGTCACGTAGTATCTGGTGAGTACTAAATATATTTTTTTAATTACATGAAATAACAGTGAAAAAAGGGCATGTCTAATGTCTATTCAATTGGTCCACTTACCCTTACACACGAAAAGATCAAAATGTCAACTTGGAATATCAATGACCACAACTTCATCAGGCTCTAATAGATGTTACCTTGGAAAAAACCATCTAAAAGTCATGGCTAATGTAAGAAGTTTAGGCTTCTCCGCGTAACCTTGAAAATCTCTTCTTTCTCAAAAGACATTTTCAATCAATCAAACATGCTTGTAGGGTACATTCAAATGAGACTCCATCTAACGTCGAACGAAACGTATGTGATTTTACATAAATTTCTGTAGAACTTTTCAACAGTCTATGCTTACAAATACCTCGAACCTTCTTTAATCATGTTAAATGGTCCTAGATGCAAAAGAAAGGAAGTCCATTAATTTTACAAAGAGATTAAATTATTTTCTATTTATCCAAAAAATAATGAATTTACCGGTAACCATTCAATAGTTTGACAAATCAGTTTAAGTGGGCCTCACATCAAAATTTTTCTTCATCTCTCTCACGCGCACACCATAAACATGAGAAAATAGCCAATATAACGATTACACCACGTCATCATTGCCACGAAGTGTAACTAATCAATTATAAATAATCACGTAGGACTAAGAGATCCCAAACCATCAATTACTTTTATGTTTAAAACTAACACGTATGATTAGTGGAATTCACTTATTCTATTTATTTGTTTATTATTAATCGATTATACTGCGTGACTGTAGAAACTTGATGTAGCCATTATATTAAATACGCACATTACAACTCCACCATAGATATCCTTCACTGAACCACACCACTACAAACTCACCGCTGGCACCCCTTCCACTTCCTTCAAACTCGCCATTCTACTCCCTCCATCTTTACCACTTCCTATGACCATACAAGTGTATAGATAAAGTATAGATGTGTGCAACTACATGCAAGTGTGTGAGAGGGGTGTGTTTGTCTGAATAATATTTTTTACAGATTAAAAAAGGATTAGTAGGATTGCTAAAAACACTTGGGACACGTTTTCTAATTGATCCTAACTTGTATGAACCCTATTAAATTGTTACTTTAACCTGTTTAAATTATAATTTTCTCCAAACGAGTCATAGGCCTTATTTGTTTTGCTTTTAAAAAAACAGTATCTGAAAAATTGTTTTTGAGAAAAATTTTAGAAATTTATGTTTTGATTTTTTTTGGGTGTTGTGGAACTTGTTTGGTTATATGATTATAAAAATGGTTTTACGAAATAAAAAATAGTAAAATTTTGTTGGACAATAACCTATAAAATAATGAAAACAAAAATGTAATGGTGGTGGTGGTGGTGGTGTCTTAATTCTGGGAATGTTGTTTCCAAAAACACACAAAACAATCATGTTATTCTCTAAATCTACCTACTTATTGTTCTCAATTTTCAAAAAATAAAAACAAGAAACAGCTAGCCGAACAGTTTTTCTCTAAACTACTTCAAAAAATAAAAAATAATTTCTGAACATGTAAACAAAATAGGACTTGTTTTGCAGTCCAATGGACTTTGCCTAAAATACATGAAGATTTTATGGTTCAGAAGCATAAGTCCAGCCTTTTTCTGAAGCAAAACGCAGCTTAACCCAATGATCATTGCCATCTCTTTTATTGCAATCTCTTTTGGTAAATTCCATCGGCCATGGAGATTGGAATCAACTCCTTTAATAAATTTGAGAGTGGGCCTAAACCCATCAAATTATAGCAGGAAGTGGTCTGGCTCAAATCACAATGGCCGAAATGTTGTCCAAATGGGCCCGGCCTGAAGAACAAACTATTCTGCCACTTTGGTCCCCCATATTTATACTCTATTAACATTGACCCCCTTTAATATTTAAATGTTGGTTCCAAATTTTCCCTTCTGATACTTCATTGCTAAATTGAAAACCGAATCACTCACATGACTATCAGGTGATTAGTCTGCAAGAGTAATGGTGTTAATTTAGTCCAATTCTAACCTCAAAGAGTCCTATCGGGATTAAACATAATACTTAATCAATTGAATATCCCTATTCATGAGCACAATTCATACGGAAGCCCCCATCACAATCTTCCACAGCTACCATTTCAGTTCACTCATGTGAGCTAGGATGAAAATAAATAGAAGTGATGATACCATAAATTGATCACCAACCTCCGGGAGGTTGCGGACCAAATTTGCCCTCTGACTGATCAAGGGGATACCTAAAGAGGCAAGTTGAGAATCAGAGGAACTTTGGAGATCTACTTTTTGATGCTTAAGAAACTTAATTGTAGGGGTAAAGTGAAAATTTCCCATTCCAAAAACATTTGTTTTTCTTGGATAACAAGCAGGGGCCACAAAAGCAAATTTTTTTGGATTTTATGCATTTTTTTCTTCAAAAATTAACTCATTGACATAACAAAAAAAACTAATGAAAAGTTAATAGAAATGGTAACAATTTTGATATATTTAAGGTATAATATAAAAAAATTAATCTTTACAAGTACAAAATAAATAACTTAAAACTTTTTAGGGTATAAAGTGTAGTTCGCCCAATTTTTTATGAGGTTTGTCCGCCGAGTCATACGAAATTGAAAATTATTATTTTTGGTTAATTAATTCTGAAATTCATTACTTGACTTGGTTTTCAGCTTCTACCCAGACATTCCTGGAAGTTCAAGGCATTTTTGATACATATAAAGGCAAACCACTTGAATTTCGACAAGTTTTGATCTGAAATTCATATATTCTGGGCTCTCCGGTGATCAAAGTCCGTAGATTCTCCACATATGGAAGAAACCCATATCAAATCAGATTGTGAAGAAGCGAAAGAAATTCAGATCAAATCAGATTTTGAAGAACAGGAAGAAATTCAGGTCAACCCAGATTGTGAAGAAGCCGATGACGAATTTTCAGACATCACCCTCCGGCCATTCGATCGCTCCGACGTTGATGACTTCATGGTATGGGCTAAAGATGAGAAAGTAAGCAAATTTTGCACTTGGGAGCCTCACATCTCCAAAGAAGAGACCATGAATTATATTATTGATTATGTTCTTCCTCATCCTTGGTACAGAGCAATCTGTCTCAAAAACCGGCCTATCGGTGCCATTACAGTGAGACCAAACCAAGGCAATTATAGTTGCAGAGCTGAGCTTGGTTATGTCCTAGCATACAATTATTGGGGCAAAGGAGTTATGACAAGAGCTGTGAAAATGGCGGAAACCGCCATTTTTACTGAGTGGCCACACCTTCAGAGGCTTGAGGCTCTGGTGGATGTGGATAATTCAGGTTCGCAAAGGGTGTTGGAGAAGGCTGGGTTTCAGAGGGAAGGTGTTCTGAGGAAGTATAGGATTCAGAAAGGGAAAGCAATAGATATGGTGATGTTTAGTTTTCTCTGTACTGATTCAGTAGCTCACTATTATATGAATAGGGTGGGGGTTCCAAGCCATATGACCCTCCTTCGATTTGCAGCATGGGAGAATTATCTTACTACCCTTGTTCTTGAAGGGTGATTTTCATGCTGTTGTAAAAGATACTATGTCTAATGAGGATGGTCTTTTGGCTTTTGTATTGGTAGTAGTTTTTTAATGAATTGGATTTTGATCTAAGTGTTGTTATGCTTATCCAAATTTGATTAATTGGATATAAATTGATGCTTATAAGGATGATCTTTTGGCTTTGGGAGCTAGAGATCAGGCATATTAAAGGGTATACACAGTGCCCAAGGCTCCTACTATTGTGGGATTTTAAAAAAGTTAGATGTACACAACTTTATTCCTGTAAATTATTTATGCGGCTCGAACCCGTGACCTTCAAGTCATAATGAAACAACCTTACATATTGTTGATTTTAAATAAGTTTGGATGACATGAAACTAAATAACTCATTTCTTAGCTAGGGATTGAAATTTGTTTTGCAGATGTTGATTTATGGATGTATGAGGTAGTAGATTTTCTTATGCTTCAATCATGCAAACATTAAAGAAAGTTATATACAATACACAAAACTCTCATCTACGGTGGTGATAATAGGATTTGGAAGAGATAACTGATAGATAATTATTATCCCATTTATAAAAGCCTGGTTCTGAGTTCAAACCCACAATATTTGGCTTGGCTAGAATGGATGATTACTTGCCATTGTTTCGACCTCTGCTGCCCATCCTCATCTATGCTCATCCCTTCTTTCCTTCTTCCTAAGAGCTAAAGGTCTTTTCCTTAAACAGTCTCTAGGCGCACACTAGTTTTTTCAATTTTTCTCGATGGCAGATTGTCCACTTTGTACTGGTGGAGAACCCAATTTTATCTAGTGAGTTTTCCTTGAATTCACAAAGGATGATCTATCATCAAAACGGAAAAAAAAAAAAACATGAATTCTCAGTGTTTGATGATGGATTGCCTGCCTGACTGAAGTGAGGGTCAATCACATAACGTTATCAGTGTTTAGTTCTAAATATAAATAGATTTAAGTCTATTAACACCTTCACTTTGTTCTGCAAAATATGTTTAAAGCACCCTCACTTCAGCAAAAGACCAAAAGTTAATCCAAACAATTTAGTTTGCATTTTCTTTTCATTTGCTTTTCTCACCTCAAGTAACAATGAGTGAAGAACATCTACTTCTTTTTTTTTTTGATTTGTAGTACACATTTTTATTCAATTTCTCTCGATATCTAAATCACTAATTGGACAATGAAAATGATTTCTTTTTTATAATAAATCCTACTTAAATTTATGATTAGTGATTTAATTTCCGTCGAAATTCAAAAAAAAAAAAGTTCCAAAAATAATTGAAGCCTATTGTTTCATACCCTTTTCCCATTTCTTTTGTCCCAACATTTTCTTACACCTACAATTCCCCCCCCCCCCC